AACAATCGTGTTAACTGGAATAAGAACATTCTACTGACAACAATCGTGTTAACTGGAATAAGAACATTCTACTGACAACAATCGTGTTAACTGGAATAAGAACATTCTACTGACAACAATCATTCACTTGACTCTGATGATGACTTCCGCACAGGTTGTTGAAACTTCAGTGACTACTACCGACAACAGTCCTTCTCAGGACTACACTCACCCGGACGATCACACTACACCTTTACTGCACATGGTTAACTTTGTTAGATTGTCCTTTGATGAGAGCCTAAAATTTGCCAATATTAACCAGCAGACTACACTTTCTATTGCATTATCAGTGTATAACCCACTTATTAATTGAGATGTTAGGTGAACACAAAAAGGTTTGATTTACAAAATCTTCATCTAAACTTAAGTTGTTTAAATTTTCTATGGGTTTACCGAATTTGAAATCTTTTTAATCGAAATGAAATATTACGGTGTCAGTTTCCTATCGGTTTACTGTAACACTAAACAATATGTTTTTGACCAATCATTGTGCTCGTAGTATCTCAATTATATTATAAAGTAAAAGTTAAAGCTCTTGCATCAGGATGTAGAAAAGTTCAAACGTTCTGTGCTATTTTTTGATTCTGCTTTTTAGGATTCAGATGAAGAGGAATGCTTTGATTGCCAGCCTGATAGACCATTGGATACTTAGTAGACAGTAGCCTCCATTTGGTGGGAAATATGCTTGGATAATTGTCCAGGGACATTATCTGTTGCAAGCAGTGAACAGTTTTCTGGAAGCATAGCTTGATGAAAACTGTGAGCTTGGAGAAACTGATGATGTCCACTTGAGGATAAATATATAAGCATATTTTCATGCCCAATGGAGGCTGATATGTCTATTATCCATCAAATAGTTTTTTTGCAGCGCACCCAACAAAGTGTTTTACAAAGTCAATTTACTAATCTCAGAGTAATCTGATATAAAAACAAAATTTGCCCTTGCATTACAACAGCAGAATGCTCTCTTAATTTGAATTGAACCTTCAATGAAGAATTTCGTGACATTGGACACGGTTTGAAAATTGAGGAATGTTACATAGGATTACCAAGGGGTATTCCCAGGTTTAGCTGGGGCACATTAGATCATGACATGTTAAAACCAATGGTGCACAAGGAAAAATATTTGATGGATGATAAGAATAGATAACAAGGAAACCAATGATGTTACAGTGTACCAGGGGACACCAAGGCACACTTCAACCTACGTATCTCTTGCCTTCTCTTGTTACTTTTAACCACTATAGCTCTTTTTTAGTAGGTTTTTATGGTAACCGTTGTAATACTTGGTACGTGAAATGAAAGATAACATCTGCTAAAGATGAAATCTTAGAGATTTTAAAAAGTATCACTTGCTTCCTATTAGAGTGTAAAGAAGCATTTTATTTTTCATATATATTAATATCATGAAATATTCCATAGGCAATTAAGAATGTAATAGATAAGATATATATTGTAGATTGTTATCAGTCTTTGGCGTTATGGCGCTTTTTGCCGGCCAAAATGAAGAATTAGGCCCGTTTGCATGAATTTGCATGCTGTTTTGTTGTCACTTTTTCCGTTTTTGCTTTCCTGAAAGTGGTAATAATAGTAATACAGTGTATACTATTGGGTATTAATATGTTTTGTACCCTTTTATCTTAGAGCTCATTTTAACCCTGGCCTCGCTCGGGGCTTGGGCTTAACTCTTAACGGGGGCCAATTTACAATTTCAACTTAGTTGATATAACCAAATCGTCCTGCACCTAGTTTTTTTTTTTAATTCGTTGCTCTTAGTCCTCTGTCGTAACTTGCTCCTGCCATAATATCCTCCTGGTTAGCTCAATGAATAGAGCCCCGGACTGTTGAGCGGGAGGTCGAGGGTTCGAGCCCCGGCCGGACCAACATTCAAGGTCTTAAAAATTACTGAGGAGAATGTGCTACCTTTCTATAATATCAGGAAATGGATAGACATTCTAGTCCTCTCGGATAAGGACGAGTAAACCTTAGGTCTCGTCTCTTGTAGGAGACATCAATTTCCCAGGCAGGAGATTACTGTGTGGTGGATGTCCTCCCCTGGGGTGGGTGTTCACAGGGCCTCATTTAACCTAGCTATCTGCTAAACTGGGCTACCCTGAATAAATATTCGTAAATGAAAATACAAATAGTATTGGTTCCAAGAACTAGCGTGAGTCTTAAAGATTAGTATTTGAAAAGTAATTGGATAAGGAAACGAGAATATATAATTGAATAAACGTATTCTTACTGCAAAGAGGGCAGTTAACTGAAGAACGAATGTCGAGAGACGCCTTATTCATAGAGCAACAAAGATATAACGATTGCGTTGCATGACTGTGGAATTAAAAAATTGAAAATATGAGATATTGATATTGATCGGCTATTGGTAAACTAAATGACACGTCTGTTCAATGCTCGCTCGCTCAAAGCAGTTGTTTCATAACAGCGCGCGTGCTTGCCTTGTATACCTACTGAGCCGCTGTGAAGAAAACCTTTATTCACGCACGCGTGTGCGTAAATAAGATGACGTGAGCCTTTTTTTTTTTCCTGGCTGTAGAGTTGCCGTCCTGTTAAGCGGCAGTGCAGCTTTCTTTCTCTTTAAAATATGGAAGAAACCAGCGAAGAAGTGCCCAATTTTACAATCGGCATTGACCTTATAGGTCCTGATCCAAAAAGCAGCAAAAACGAAGCCGATAAAAACTCGCAAGTTGCGCGTTTCGCAAATTTGTCGGAAGACCAGCTGCAGCAAGTTTTGGCGGAAAGATATTCGCTGGGAACGAAAAAAGTTACCAATTTAGTTATCAGTTATCCAGTTATCGGTTAACTGGATCAAAATTTCTCGCTCAGACCAAAGTATAAATTTTGGCGTGTTTTCGATTGTTTACTTTTTTGTGCGTTGTGAGAATTTTATACTCTATCACAATAAGAAAAGCTTCTTCGAGCAGATCCTTATAGTCGCCCTCAAAAGGGTAGAGTAGCTCTCGGCTGCGCCTCGAGCTACTCTTACGCATTGTTCGTGCTCTCCAAACTTCCCCCGTACATCCATAACTCGATATACGCGCTAAGTATGAACATATTCTTAATTTAGACATATAGAAAATTGTGAAAAATGTGCTGAAATGTTTCCCAAATATCGAAAAAAATTCTCAGATTCTATACAAAAGTCAATTAAATCCTCAAGAGTGCTGGAAATGTAAATTAGTGCTCCAAATTCGAAAAAATGTCCAAAAAGTGCCCAGCGCAATCAGGACAGGCCTAGCGCGAGTCTTGAAGATTATAGGGTCCAATATCTTAAGTCCAATTTTGCCCAAATCATATTTTCCACCATATTTTCTTCCTTGAAATCCCATAAATAAGCTCGGGAAGCGTATTCTTACTGAGCGTATTCTTACTTGAAGAACGGATATGGAAAGACAAGCTTTATTCAAGGAGCGAAAAAGATAAAAGATAAAGATTGCCCAGGATGACTGTTGAATAAAACGTTTGAAAATACGAGATATTGATCGGCTATTGGTAAACCTAGTTCAGACGCCGCTTCACTCATGTGCCGAACCTAATTCAATCAGGTTCGTCGCTGTGAAGCGAAGTTGACGCGACAGCTGGTTCAGATCGTTCAGATAGCGTACAGTGTGTCGCACCTAAAAGAAGAAACACAAAGGTCTGGGTATGATGCATCCTCGGAGACCTAGGGGCTGTGAGTCGATTTCAAGTTAAGGGCAGAAGAGCCCCTGGGGACATTGTTTTACAAGACTAGTTCCAAACGGTCGCAGTCGTTCTGGCATCTGATTGGTGCCAGAAAATCTTTGTGTTTTTCTGCCCAATTAGAGTAAAGTTTCCTTTGGAGTCCTTTCGTGTGTTTTAACACGTACATATACAACAAGCTCTAGCTGTTGCTCGCTATGCTTGTTTGGGCCGTGCGACGAAGCTTTGCCAGAGGTGAAAAGTTTCAGTCTCAGCATACAATGTAAGAGAAATCGATCAGATTGTCCGCGAAATCTTAACGGATATTATACTGAATACTTTCGCAGGTATCACAAGAGAACGTGTTTAAAAGTTTGCGAGGTTCGTGTAAAACATAATGGTTGCAAGCATGGATATGTGGAGGTGTAGTCTGATCGTCCGGGTGAGTGTAGTCCTGAGAAGGACTGTTGTCGGTGGTAGTGACTGACGTTTCGACAACCTGTGCGGAAGTCATCATCAGAGTCAAGTGAATGATTGTTGTCAGTAGAATGTTCTTATTCCAGTTCGTGTGAAATGATCGGTTGGTTTTGCCGTGATGTTATTGGCTGTAAGACTCAAGTGACGTAAGTCGGTCGTGATTGGTCTGTTTCGATCTGTCGGTAAAGTTAGGTCGTTCTTTTTCGGTCGTTTGTGATGTTTATGTCGTGAATGAGTCGTTTGTATGGAGCGGGTAGTTGTTGACATCTGTTTAGGGGAGTCTGTTCTAAGTTAGTAAACCAGCTTTCCAGAGTCAGTCGTTGAAAATAGTCAGTGCTGTAGGTTAGGCATTGCGCAGAGTCCCAGTCAATGTTGTGGTTGGTAAGTCGATGGTGTTCAGCAATGTGATTGCTGACATCACCTTTCCTCGTCGCCCGTCTGTGTTCAGTCAGTCTTGTTGTGAGGTTTCTGCCAGTCTCACCGATGTAGGAGGCTTGGCAGTCGGAACAATTGATCTTATAAATCGTTCCCTGTCTGTTCCTCGGTTCGTCTTTGTCTTTAACGTTGGTTAGTAACTGACGTAGTGTGGTGATGGGTTTGTGGGCGACGCGGATATTGAAGGGTAGTAAGATGCGCGAGATGTTTTCAGACATGCCTTTTATGTACGGTATGGTTGCTGTAGTCGTAGGGGTTGCGGTGTCGTTTGTTTCGGTAGTGGTAGTGGGTCGGTGAGTGTTTCGTCGGATGAAGTCGTTGTTGTAGTTGTTCTTCGTAAAAACACGGTGAAGGTATTTGTTCTCGTCGGATAAGCTGTCTGTCGAGTC